ACAGAGCACATCAGTGTAGCTCACAAAGTAATGCAGCACCATGCTACACATACACACGGTGGCAACTAAACTTTTAAGCATCCAAGCCACAGCTAAAATTGTGCATAAATTCTTGCCACTCGTGGTATGATGCACAACTTCATAACATTGCTAGCATTAAGAGGTTTTTGTATACCTACGTACGTAGAGTGTGACGCATGTACCACTCTATTACAAACGTGAGTGTCATAATGAACTGAGAGTGTTACCAGCAGAGGGAGGGGCAACTGGAGGTTGTGAGAGGGTGAGGGTGTTGGTGGAGAGGGAGAGGGAGAGGGTACTGTCTCCACACGGACTGGCAGTCGAACCACATGTCGGGTATTCACAAGACATTCCACACACCTGCAGCAGTTTGTGCATGTGTACAATGTCATAAACCAATAGTTCAAGACGCTCACGAGCATGTACAAGAGGAATTTGGTGAATAAATGTGGTGTACTCTATGATGTTGCAATGAATCACCTTTCAAGGAGACCAGTTGTGTCACGATGAATGGTGAAGGGGAGATTGGTGTAAGACAGAGGAGGGAGGACGAGATGAGAGGAAGAGGAGGAGGAGGAGGAAGAGGAAGGGAACAGTGGACTCTTCACTCCTGACCCAGCAAGCTGTCATGTAAAGGAAACACCTATTATTAGACACTATCTTTGTGGACTTGTAAATACACACACAAGCAAACTGTATGGTCAAACCTTGAAAGTGAAACAGATGTGTTGGTTCAAGCTGTTCTTTATGGTTACAGTCTTCTCCACCACTGAACTGACTGCAATCACACCATAGTCCAGAACTCCTGGGCCTGTTAGGGAACAGATGGGTGATACAAGTAGTCAGGATGGCAGAGCGGTCTAAGGCGCTGCGTTCAGGTCGCAGTCTACTCATGTAGGCGTGGGTTCGAATCCCACTCCTGACATCTTTTTCTTCTACATTTTTTTGGTTCAATTCGTACTTTTACCCTTTTTAAAGCATGCACAGATTATGTGTAATACTCACATATTGTGATAAGAGAGAGCTGATATGGAGAAAGAGCAGCATTGACTTCACTTGCCGCTTGTTGACTCTCAGCAGTAGTTGAACACTGCTCAACCTCTCTCTGAAAAGGAAAGATGCAACACAAGCAGAGTAGCATATGCATTCTCCAAAGAGAGATCATCAGAAAACACAGCAAATGCTACATCTATTTTTGCATTGGTCACTTGTTTGTGCAGCTACTTGCATTGGTTTGCATACCAGGTCTACGGAGGTGGCAGTGGTGACATCATCAGTAGTCATGATCCCAGGTTTACCAGCACCTCTTCCTCTCCTCTTCTTCCTCCACCTGGCAGAACTATCACTGGAGACAGTGGGGGAGTTGGAGGGAGCTTTCAGAGGAAGCAGCCCCAGCTCCCTCTCTGGTCCACAGGCTGCTGCTACCAGAGCTCTGAGTGAGGACAAAAGGTTCAAATATATTGCAAACACTCTCTTGCACGCTCACATTTCTGTACAGGGATACATTAAAAACAGTTCCAGTGGGTTGTTCCGTACCACACTTGCAGAACTGTAATTTCAGCACTAGGAAGACGTTTGAACCATGTTTGGGACACCTATGTATGGGCAGGTGTGACACCCTCACTCTTGGAAAATTTACACCCGAAGACACCATGGCTCCTATTTTAATGTGTAAGTATAGAAAACTCGTACAATCTGAATACAGTACAAACCTTTCTCTCCTGTTCCACAGTCGGAGAGCCTGAGAGTGTCTGAGGTAGTGAAGGTAGTGGTCTCTGTGCCACTGGATCTCGCGTCTCTCTGCCTCACTGTAGGCATAGTCTCTGTCCACGTACGTGTAGCGGGGGGTCCGCGTATAGGGAGTGCTGCAGCATAGTGGATGGGAGTGAGAGCTGTTGTGCACCATCATGTGGCCAATAAACGCACAGTTTAAATATAAAGACACGAGTAGGGGTCAAAAAAGTTTCAAATGAATGAAATTGGAAAAGTTTTTTTGACTCTTACTGTAGCATTTTAATTAACGCACAGTTCAATAAAAAGAAAGAACGTCCATCAATAGAACAGAACAGGGAAAGGCTCTACTGGATTGTGAACTATGACATGTGCAAGTCAGGATGGCCGAGCGGTCTAAGGCGCTGCGTTCAGGTCGCAGTCTACTCATGTAGGCGTGGGTTCGAATCCCACTCCTGACAGCTTTTTTCTTGCTGCAGTAGCAGAGTAGCATATTACTTACACGACTTGATATCCATCGTAAGGTCTAATGCTGGTGGCCATGTCATCAGGATGGGCGTAGTTGATGTTACTCCCACTCTCGTCCCCTCTTCCCCTCCCCCCAGGCCCTGGACTCACTCCCTCTCCTCTCAGATCCACCACCAGTGTCTTCACTATTCCTCCTTCTTTACCACTCTGCAAGAAAGGGTCAGCAGAGCATACACAATTCACCTGCAGCATCTCAAAAAGACATTTCAGGTACAAAACTACAAACTACTCTTGAAACACACCAAAAGCTATAATGCAAATACACACAAGGAAGTTTTTTGTTTTGCTGTTGGATATACACAAGTTGTATAAGGAAGTGTAGTACACATTCAGAAGACTAAATAATAAACAATGCAAGCCGGCCTAACACTCTGAACTACAGTACCTGCAGACTATGTGTTATAATAGGTAATGTGCATGTCATACATACTCTGGAGTCTGAGGTCAGAATGTCGATGAGTAGTCTGGCATTGAGTGGTCCGAGCTGCTTTGGAGTGAAGGTGAGGGAGAGGGTGAGGGTGTGTGAGGGTGGGATGTGCCCGGAGGGAGGGTGACAAGTGTAGTGAGGGACACGGTGAGTGGTGAAGTAGAGAGGAAGTGTGTCTGACTTGTTGTGGACCTATGGAAATACACATCCTGCTGTACTATGTGTAAGATATGACTGTATGTAAAAAGCTGGGTTCACAGTATGTCGCATTGCCCCTACAGGCCATGTTGCGTAGTGCAGAGATAGAAATGGCCTTGCGGCACAGAAAGCCACATGTCCCGCACATCTCTGTTGCTAGACATTAACGGTGTACAGGACATCACCAAGTGTACTAGAGTAGTGACAAGCAGTGTTTCTTTTCCAGCTGGGAAACTGAAAAGAGATGTACTAATGGTAAGTAGACCTTGACATGCTGGGTGGTGGGGGACATGGTGGGAGTGGCTCCAAACTGTAGTGGAGGGCTGGGCTCCAGCTGTACGTCCACTGGTAGAGCAGTTGCACACACTGCCACCTCAAGGTCACCTCCAGAGGCTGGAGTGGAGAAATCATCAACAATAATTATGGTGAGTATATGTACATCAGCTAAAAGAGCTTCAACATCAATCAGGTCTCAGCAAAGCAAAGCAAACAACACAACTACACACACAGTATGTTCTGAAAACACTTTTGAAGTGCCATTATAGGCAAAAAATCACTGAACATTATGGCAGTCATTTCCTTTTACAATACAAAGCAAGATTAGGTAGAATGTGGTGTACATACCTGTGGACTCTCTGTTGGTGTCAACAGCAAGGAAGCGAAGGTAGAGTGTGTAGTCACGTCTGGTGGGTGTGGCCTGGAAGTGGCTCCACCCACTGTCGGAGGAAATGAACCTGGGGCCAATGGTCAGCTCCAATATCCTCTTCTCATAAGGCAACAGAGTACCTTGTGAGTAGGGAAGACTATTAACACTATAATTAATTGCCAACATTGTTATAGAGTCACTTCAGATGTGACTTTTTTGCCATTCAACAGCAAAGGAGTGGGCTTACAATCATGGTATAAAAGGTAAAATGCGACTACAGAATCGATTTTACACAAACTTATGTATGTAGCAAAAACATTACAGTATGGGATATATGGTCTACATACAGGTATATACATAGTACGTAGTGCATGTAAATTCAGTGGGCTAATACACACAATGTGTACAGGTGTACCTGAGAAGGAAGGACAGATATGATAGACTCGTGAGGAGGAGTGGAGCCCTGTTCCCTCCACCTCTCCTGGCCGGGACCTCCCTCCGTGAGGGCCATGGCCACACCCTCTGCCCCGCCCACCTCACTCCCTCGGGCTCTCTTGTCCAGGAGACACAGGTAGTCAGTGGACACTGGACTCTCATTGAACAGAACAACTTGTCTGGAGTGAGTGGGAGACAACTTTTATTATATACATTCCCTCTCCTTTGGCAATTGCTTCACAGCAATTACATCATTAGCAAAGAGTAATACTTGCGACATACTTACAAAACACGAATGAACTGCTTGCTTCACTAGCCAAAAATGTGTTGCATTCTCTAGTATTAGACTGCCACAAACAGAACCTGGAGGTAGTTGTGTCATAGTAGGTGGGTGGGAAGGAGAGGGAGGAGAGGGAGGAGAGGGAGAGAGGGTCCAGGACTCTGAGAGCTCTGGACTCCAGTCTCCCACACACTGTCAGGAGGAGAGAGGGAGCTGCCTCCTCACCCTCACCACCAGTATTAGCAGCTGGAGTGTCAACAGCAGTGGGTGGAGCTGAAGTACAGATTCTGAGGGAGAGGGTACATTGTTGGTACATATGTGAAGTCGAACTGTACATCTCTATCCATTAAGATTGCTCCCAGTAAGAATTTGCCTATGGAGGCACTGTATTAACTATTTTATAGTTTTGTGTAGAATCGAAGATGGAGTTGTGCATACAAACCTGAGAGCATTGGAGAATTTAATTTCTTCCTTGCACAAAATCTCCATCTGTGATTAAAAAAAACACGTCATATACGTGATCCAGTAGGAACGCACAGCAATACAGCACACATACAGATGCTCAATAAAGCCAAGAAGAAAATTTTGAGCTCGTGGTTGGCTTTTCTCTCAAGACTTCTGAAGCCCTGTATTCTTCCCTTTATACTTGTTTTGTGTTCTACACATGATGTATTGTCATACCCGTATTCTAGTGGACTGTAGAGGCAGTAGGTGGCCAGTGGTGGGCTGGAGGGAGATCCAGCCAGGGAGAGGAGAGGTGTCGATGAAGAAGTCTCCCTCACGAGTCCCGAGGTTGGAGAGGGAGAAGGAGGTAGTGTGGATCTGGTTCTCTGCCACCAGACACCCCACGTCCACCACCTCCTCACTCAGGTGGAGTCTGGGACTCCGAGGAACACTGCAGGACACACGGGGCAGGGTTCGCGAGGAATGCAGACACACAGTTGGGTTATTTCGTTCATAAAATCACAGTTTACTAAACAAAGGCCAATTGGCAGCGTAACTGCCACTTACAATAATAGTAGTCTTCAGTGCTTTTGGAAGAAATCAAGGACAACACGTGTTTCAATCTCTCTAGCTATCTGATAACACTCTATCAATGAGCACTTTCAGACTCTGCAGTTCTCTAAGCTCCTCTGATGCGCCTGCTCCTGGCGTCATGTAGTGGTGGACTGGTTGGTCTCAGAAGACTCGGAGGTCTCCCAAGAGTAGCGGGCAGCTCGTCACTCGGAATGGCTCGGGTCCTCAGTATAGAGAACGTAGACCAGGTGAGATCTCTGGTATACTAACTGCTACATAAGTGTAGCTAGAGGTCAGGAAAGTATCCTTACTCAATTTAGCCATTTTGCTGGTTGTTTGCATGAAACTAGATTAGTAGTTGTTGTAAATTTATGTGAGTGTGACTTTGTTCTTGCCACAGAAAACTCTAGAAGAAGTGTTGCAAGAGACATCTGCTGCTCTGAGAGGAGGTGGAGTCGTTGCCATACCAACCGATACAATCTACGGCGTGGCCTCGTTAGTTTCAAGTAACGAGGGGATAGAGAGGATATACGAGATGAAGGGGAGATGGAGAGACAAGCCCCTGGCAATCTGTGTCAGTGAGGTTGAGCAGGTTTATAGGTGACTTATGTTGCATGTTGTGTTCTGTGTTGAATAGAATGGAACTTCCTTCAATTGAAGTAGACTCCTTAATTTTACTAGTTCCAACTTCTCTTCGAAGCAAGGATATGCCAGTTTCATATTGCAGTGTTTTTTTTGCATCACCTAAACCATTACTGTCTTGACGTCATCAAATAATCACGAAATTCAAACAGCTATATGTGATTTCGCTCACTATCTTCGAAGCAGCTTCAACTGTTATTGTTCCTTGCACCAGGTGGGCCAAAGTGACAGTTCCGTCTAGTCTCCTGTCCCGTCTCCTCCCCGGGCCAGTCACCACAGTCTTTGAGAGAGGAGGAGACCTGAACCCTGCCCTCAACCCGGGACTCCCTCTGGTGGGACTCAGGATCCCAGACTCCTCCTTTGTCCGCTGTCTGGTGGAGCAGTGTGGCTGTCCTCTGGCCCTCACCAGTGCCAACCTCAGTCACTCCTCCAGCACTCTCTCTGTACAGGTCAACATTAATACTTATGTACATTGTGTGTATGACAATGTGGCACTATTATTATAGGGGCTAAGAAAATGTTGCTAAAAACGTGACTCAATTGCATTCTTTAACTGTGTTCCTATTGTTTTGTTCTATCTTTAGTAACATATTTCTATATTTAGCCCACATAATTATACTGCCACATTCTGAACCCATAATTATACCCCTGTGCATTTGTAATAATTATGATTGCTTAGCCATTAGAATTTTTGTACATCTATCATTTTCACCCTGATAGAGCTAAAGTTATTACCTGACTCGGTGATATTATATCATTTTCTCAGGAGTTCCGAGAGCTGTGGTCGCTCCTGGATGTGGTGGTGGATGGAGGAGTCATCTCTCATGGAGGAAGAGGGGGAGAAGAGGAGGCCAGTAGACTGGGCTCTACTGTAGTGGACCTCAGTCACACCGGATCATTCTCCATCATCAGACCTGGAATGTGTGTCGGAACCTTTATACACACATTTGTACACAGCTATATACTAGGAGTGTTCTCTGTTTAGCAGTGCATAATTGATAAACTATCCATGTCCTTTGGATTGTTAGTTCATCTTCTTGTAGCAGACACTAATTGTTCGTTTCTCTTTTCCAGGTGTTACCAGCAGACTGTGAAGTTACTCAGAGATGATGAATATCACTTGAAAGAAATTGTCATTTGATCATTATTTTGTTTTATTTATCTCCCTCAATCACTAACTGGTGGAAATTCCTGTAATTTTGCAACTCTCTAATCTCATCAGTGATAGAGGCTCTGATAGAGGCAACGTCTGCTGCTATATAACCAAATTAGGAAGAAGTGGGTGGGAAAGGAAGAATGCATCATGAATACTCTTTAGACGCTGACTCTGCCATCACTCAGTAACAGGGAGACTCTTAGTTGGTCGTGGCTAACGCTGACAGAATTACTGGTCAACTGAAAATACAAGGTAAATAGCTACAGAGTTAAGATGCATACCACCGAACTGTGGGTCCTCGGCGCCGTGGAAGCGCGTCAGGGTTGCTTCAAGGCAGAACCACACCCATTTTTTGTGGCAGTCAGCGAACTCTGGAGTCACTGAGTCAGTCACCGTACCAGTATACGTATCACTCCGTTAGCGCGGCCGCAGGCAGTCGGTAGCTATCGACCACTTTCAAGGCCTAAAACATTTACATCAGGCTGCATGAATCATTGTCTATGGTGGGAAGTGCATAGCTAACTACGTACGCATGCTGCAGGGTGATGTCTGCTCAGGCGTTCCCCCAAATAGCAGAAGTGAACGTAAAAACGTGATCAGAAAATCGCCACTTCCTTCATCACGAGTGAAGCGAGTCTCCAATGTCATCGGCTTTGTAATCAGGGTTTCATCTAGAGTTTGGAATTTGGGGGGGAAGTACCACTCACACTCATCAGTGCTGTGAGTGCAGGAGATAATTAATAGTAGGCGTCAGTTTCTAATTAGAGATCACTACCACGTACTAACAAGGTATAATTATATGAATGTATTACCCACTAGAAAGAACAAAGAAGTGTCGAATCGTGTTGTAAATTATGTTGTTGTTTTTATTGTCATTGTACATTCCAAAAAATCCCCCCAAAAAATTTGGGGGGAAGTGGTGAAGTTTGGGGGGGAAGCTCCCCCCCCCCGTAGATGAAACCCTGGTAATGGTGGACGGGCCGGCGAGCAAGCTATCGCTCTACGAACGATACCAGCATTGGATAAAGGGCAAAAAGGTTTTCGCTGCCTTGGGGACACGAGCGAAAAAGGCAATATGGTTACCTCGAGCGGGTCCGCTTGCTCGGTGTATCTTGAAGGCACAAAAAGTCAAAGCGAAGGGCGTGTACCGATTCCCGCATGCTATCTACTGCTGTAGCTAGCCCGTGTCCGCGAGCTATACTAGCGTGGAGACCACGTGAAACGATAACAGGGTTTTTACATTATTGTATGAATAAATTCACATGATCTTTGATATGACTGTGTTGTCATTGCTATCACGGGAGCAGACAAATTATCTATGGTAAATTACATTTTCCCCGACCAACCTAGCCCGCGGTTTCCCCGCCCGCCTTGACACGCGGGCCCACGTTCCCTGGGGAGGCGCGAGCAGGGATCACACCCGACCTAACCCGCGCGAGAGAATGATGATGCCCAAGAAAACTAAACACCCCCCCGCGCACCGCGTCCCCTATATATTGACGGCTGAAAAAACAAAAAATCGCGTGGGGGGCGGGAGGGCCGTGGGTCTCTCGGGTTTCGCCGGGTGCGGAGGGCGGGCGGATGCGAGGGACCCCTTTTCCTCCCGGTCGGAGGGGGGGGAGGCAAAGACGCCGCGATACGCGAGACCGCTTTCCGATAAAACATCACTCCACCGAGAACCTCAGCCACTTCCCACAATCCCAAAATTTGGGAACCAACTCACAGGTGTGATAAACAGATTCCCTAAGATAGGGAACGGAGAGACAAGCCCTGCCATCTGTGTCAGTGATGTTGAGGCAGGTTATAGGTGAGTTATGTGTCATGTTGTGTTCTGTTTGAGTAGAATGGAACTTCTTCAATTGAAGTAGAGTAAGCCACCGATATCGGACGCCATGATCTCGGACGCATTTGTGAAGTCTGTGCAGGACTAGATTGGCTACTGTGTATACCAAAGTGTAGTTCTTGGTCATAAACTGTTGTATAAAAATATTCGCTCTTATCCGAGCTTTACCGTGGGAATGACGTTGCCGTAAAGTTACGATTCGGGCACAGCCAAGTTCGGACAAGGCCATCAAAGGTAGGACAGTCTCCCAAAACGGGAACAGTATGAATGATCCAAGCGAGTGTATGCTCGATTGATAGCTGTACCTTTTGGCTATGCAGCGACCCACAAATGGCCCTTTTTTGTCTTCGCTATTTTTGCTCACGAAAGCGCAAATAGGCGGGGTCGCGTAAGCCGCGTTTTACGCGAAAAGCAGTTTTCGGCTTGTTTCTTCTAACACACGCGCCGGATGAAGCTATAAAATTTTCTCCTCGTTCTTCTTGCCTTATATTAGATGCCTGCACCACGATTTCCGTTGTTGTAAGATTTAAATTTTTTGTAATTACCAATAATTATTTTTTGGTAATTACCAATAAAAAGTTAGATCTCACAAAAACGGAAATCGTGGTGCAGGCATCTAATATAAGGCAAGAAGAACGAGGAGAAAATTTTATAGCTTCATCCGGCGCGTGTGTTAGAAGAAACAAGCCGAAAACTGCTTTTCGCGTAAAACGCGGCTTACGCGACCCCGCCTATTTGCGCTTTCGTGAGCAAAAATAGCGAAGACAAAAAAGGGCCATTTGTGGGTCGCTGCATAGCCAAAAGGTACAGCTATCAATCGAGCATACACTCGCTTGGATCATTCATACTGTTCCCGTTTTGGGAGACTGTCCTACCTTTGATGGCCTTGTCCGAACTTGGCTGTGCCCGAATCGTAACTTTACGGCAACGTCATTCCCACGGTAAAGCTCGGATAAGAGCGAATATTTTTATACAACAGTTTATGACCAAGAACTACACTTTGGTATACACAGTAGCCAATCTAGTCCTGCACAGACTTCACAAATGCGTCCGAGAATACATGGCGTCCGATTATCGGTGGCTTACTCTAGACTCCTTAATTTTTAATTTTCAATTGAAGTATAATTATAGTTGTCTTAATTTGAAGCAAGGAAATGCCAGTTTCAAATTGCAGTGTTTTTTTTGCATACCTAAACCATTACTGTCTTGACGTCATCAAATGATCACGAAATTCAAACAGCTATATGTGTAGGTAGCCTGATTTCGCTCACTATCTTCGAAGCAGCTTCAACTGTTATTGTTCCTTGCACCAGGTGGACCAAAGTGACAGTTCCGTCTAGTCTCCTGTCCCGCCTCCTCCCCGGGCCAGTCACCACAGTCTTTGAGAGAGGAGGAGACCTGAACCCTGCCCTCAACCCGGGACTCCCTCTGGTGGGACTCAGGATCCCAGACTCCTCCTTTGTCCGCTGTCTGGTGGAGCAGTGTGGCTGTCCTCTGGCCCTCACCAGTGCCAACCTCAGTCACTCCTCGAGCACTCTCTCTTTACAGGTCTTCATTAATACTTACATTGTGACACCTACCTCCAGCATTGCATGAGCTTTAGATGGAATGTGACAGTATAGAGGGGTTAAATTATAAATGTACTAAAACGTGACTCATTTACATTCCGTGCTCTTATTGTTTTGTTCTATCTTTAGTAACCTATTTAGCCCACATACTGCAACCCATATACCTGTGTGCATTGCATTTATAGCTTAGCCATTAGAATCTGTTGTACATCTCTCATTTTCACCCTGATAGAGCTACAGTTATTACCTGACTCGGTGATATTATGTATATCATTTTCTCAGGAGTTCCGAGAACTGTGGTCTCTCCTGGATGTGGTGGTGGATGGAGGAGTCATCTCTCATGGAGGAAGAGGGGGAGAAGAGGAGGCCAGTAGACTGGGCTCTACTGTAGTGGACCTCAGTCACACCGGATCATTCTCCATCATCAGACATGGAATGTGTGTCAGAACCTTTATACACACATTTGTACACAGCTATATACTAGGAATGTTCTTTGTTTAGCAGCTACACGTTTATATATTATTATGCTTAATTGCTTCCATAAACTATTCATGTCCTTTGAATTGTTAATTCATCTTCTTGCAGTGGACACTAATTATTCGTTTTTCTTTTCCAGGCATTACCAGCAGACTGTGAAGTTACTCGAGATGAATATCACTTGAAAGAGATTGTCACTTGATGATCATTTTTTCTCCCGCAATCACCAATTGGCAGGTGGAAATGCCTGTAATTTTGCAAACTCAATTCATTCTTATAGGCGTATGCCAATAATTATCGTTAGCTAAAGTGGGTGGGAAAGGAAGAATGCATCATGAATACACTTTAGACGCTGACTTCGCCGTCACTCAGTAACAGGGAGACTCTTTGTTGGTCGTGGCTAACGCCGACAGGATTACTGGTCAACTGAAAATACTTAGCTAGCTAGCTCTAGCTGCATACCACGGAACGGTGGGTCCTCGGCGGGGTGCAATCGCAGGCGGAGCCCACACCCATTTTTGTTGCGGAGCCTGGCAGTCAGCGAACGAACTCTGGGGTCAGTCGCCATAATAATTATACTACGTATCACTCCATTATTGAGCGTGGACATTAATAGTGCGCCCGCAGGCGCTCTGTAGCTGTCGACCACTTTCAAGGCCTGAAGAGGCTGCATGAATTATTTTCTATGGTGGGGGGGGGAGTGCATAACTAAGTACACATGCTATAGGGTGATGTCTGCTCAGGCGTTCCCCCAAATAGCAGAACTGAACGTAAACGTCAACGGCAAATCGCCACATCGCGAGTGAAGCGAGTCTCCAATGTCGTCGGATTTGTAATGGTGGACGTGCACTGTTGACGTGTGCTGACTCGTAATTAAAACCCTAGGCGCGTATGCGCAGTGAGGGTAGGCATGGCAGTGACAGCACAATGTCTGCTGCTAACATCGTTAGGAATAGTGGGTGGGGAAATTAGATGCATCATGAATAATCATCGACCACTTTCAAGGGCTAAAGGATTTCCATCAGGCTGCATGAATCATTGTCTGTGATGGGGAGTTGTGGGGTCCGACATGGGCCATTATGACATACGACTTTTTAAAAGCCTGTGATTTCCATCTGATTTCTATACTGATTTCCTGATTTCCTCATGATTTCAACTAATTTCCAGATTTCCACGTGATTTCAAGAGATTTCCAGATTTCTAGTGATTTCCAACTGATTTCCAGTGATTTCTAGATTTCTATAATTAAATGGACTTCTATAGATTTTTCGGTCTCTTGAGGATTCTATAGCAGTAGCTACACTCTCTAAAGAGGAGTTCCCTTTACTGGCATGAACAGTAGTCATGCGCCACAGAACACTGAGGCCCATAATACTGTCCCTGGTGCACATATTATTATGCAATTGATAGCCGGCTACAGAAACAATATCACTTATGTGGCTAAAGTAAAACTGTTAGTGGTGTGGTTATTCTTGTTCTAAGATAATATACTTTTCTCAAGCCTCCATTCAATAATGTGAGGTTCAAGTTGTGGTAGGCCGGCTAGGTGGTCTGTAGGAGTCCCAAGGGAATTTATACAAGTTTCTTATTCTACTCATACTCTTTTAAAATACCCTTAATGTCCCATCCACTCATTTGCTTGGTGTTTTGCGAGGGAAAGGGGGGAAAAACGTCTCTGTTGCTCTATAACTCCCTGTCCACTAACAGAGCAATACCGATGGTCTCTTATCCCACTGCATATGCTAACGGCACAACATGCCTCTCCGGCTGCTATCCTGGCGTTTCCACCTTAGCTTACCCATCCCTAGGCCAAGGCCGAGCAAGCAAGGCCCTACCCTGATGGTTTCAGTTTTGTGCAAAACCCGGAGCGTGGTATTATGTGTGCGCACACTTGAATTGATACAACATTATTGTATGAATATTCACATGATCTTCTATTGTGACTGTGTTGTCATTGAGCCATCACGAGAGCAGACAATAATTAACCCTCGGCGGCGCGCATGCGCGGCGAGGGTTACGGTAGTCGTTCTCCGTGTCTGTCTGTCTGTCTGTCTCGTTTTCTGCCACCACGCGCAACAAACAGGCCAAAAAGCGACACCAACGGGTTCAGCGCTACACTGGCTTCATTTTAAAACTGACGATTTTCGTAAAAGTACCGCGTTCAAAAGTTATGGCGTGAAAAAGCCAATATGCTAATGAGTATATACCATCACCATGGCTTACCTCGACCGCTTTTGCCGTCAGGCACATTGCGGAGGATATAGCGAGAATACCGAACGCTGCCTACGGTTCAAGCTAGGCAGCACGAGCAATGCACGATCGACGGGTGGTGAGCGAGCCGGCGGTTAGTGCGAGCGAGGAGGCGACATGACAAGTGATCATAGTGCGCCACGAACCGCGTGCGTGATGAATGCGCACGTGTGCGGATCAAAAAAAAACCTTTTACGGAGTGACGTAAACGGGAATTCCCCTTTACTAAGTTTACCTTTTCTTTTTTATTACAAACCAACGGCCTGTCCACATGATGTATAAATCCTTACCACACATATTATGTTTGAGAAAACGTGTATTGGCGTCATAGCCCCACTGTGGGACTCCATGCCGAGGGTTTAGCACTTCAGTGCGTTTCATTATTATCTGTGGTAAATTTGCGAAAACCCTTCCCTTTTTCCACTCGAACAGGAACGGGGGTAGCTACCTGAAAAAAAATTTACTATGCATAGGTAGGTTTTTGTTGTAGATATACCACTGTGTCACATGTAACTATAGAGTGATATCTGCACAGGTGTTCCCCCAAATAGCACAAGTGAATGTCATCGGATTGTAATGGTGGACAGGCACTGCACAGCGTCGTATTTACGTGATGTGCTCATGGTGCTCATGCTCATCACATCAATTCAATATTAGCTGTCAGCAAAATGTTTGCAGTTGTCCTCAATGTGAAAAATGTATTGTTGTAATACTTGGGTAAAATAAGCATGAAGTAGAGTACGGCCATTTACCTCTGAACTGACTGATGCCTCCTGAACGGACAATTCAAACAAATATCCCTCATCCCTTGTTACAGGTTCCCTTCATATAAAGCCGCATGGCTACGTCAGCAGATGTCCATGTACACCTGTGGTGCAGTGTGACAGTGCTACCAGCATACTGTCAACCACATTTTCCACATCCAAGGTCCTGGGGACAGGCTCCTATGGAGTGATGGTCAAAGCCACACTGGACCACCTCCCTGTGCCGCCAAAATCCTCACACCGTCTCTTCCGAGACGACGACCCAGGGGCTGTGGACTTTGCCGCTCGTTTCGACCAGGAGTGTGACATCCTGCGAGCTCTAAAGCATCCCTGCATCGTCCAGTTCCTCGGTGTGGTCCAGGACCCCAGCAGCCACAGACCCATTCTCCTGATGGAGCTGATGGACGAGAGCCTGACCGGGTTCCTTGAGCGAGCCACGACATCCCTCCCCTACCACGTCCAGGTCAACATCACACACGACATTGCTCAGGCCTTAGCCTACCTGCACGGCAACAGCATCATCCACCGCGACCTCTCCAGCAACAACATCCTCCTGAGAGGGGGAGGCAGTCAGGCCAAAGTGACCGACTTTGGCATGTCCAAGATGGTGGAGGCCAATCCTCGCATGATTCGCAGTAAGATCACCCAGTGCCCCGGCACACCTGTCTTCATGCCTCCAGAGGCCCTGCGTGCCAAGCCTCGCTACTCCGACAAGCTGGACACCTTCTCTCTGGGTGTTGTGATGGTTCAGATCATCACTCGCTGCTTCCCCACACCCACAGATGCTGAGATAGTGGTGGAGGATGAAACAACACCGACAGGAGAGAAGATCCTCCCAGTTCCTGAGCTACAGCGACGTCAGAGAGACATAGGGAAGGTTCCTCCCGACCATGGTCTCCTTCCCACTGCCCTCCACTGCCTCAAGGACAGACCTAGAGAGAGACCAAGTGCTGCCCAGCTCTGCCAGAGTCTGGGGCAGCTCAAGACAGCTGAGGCCTACACAGCCAGTCAGGCAGAGGACCAGGGGAGGAGACTGGAGGCAGAGATTGCTCGACTCCAGGAGCAGATGAAGCAGTTGGCCACTGAGAAGGATCGTCTGGCATCACAAAAACAGAGGGAGATAGCAGAGTTGAGAAGTCAACTGCAGACGTCACACAAACCACCAGTTCAGCAAGGGAGGGAAGCAACGACTGTCTCTAGCCCCAAGGCAAGTATATAGGGTTTAACCACAAAGTTGTATTATCACAATGCATCACAACCTAGCCATCTTTGTGTAGGTATACTATCAATGGTTCAGGATTTTCTCAGAAGTATTGATGTTACTGTCATGATGTCTGCAGGATGAGAAAGCTCTCTATGGTGCTGCTGACAGAGGAGATGTGTCTGCAGTGAGAAGACTTCTGGCCTCTAATGTCAACATCAACTGTACACCATATCCTGTAGGTACAGTGTGACTGTGTTCCATCAGATGTCCAATCTGTTTCACCATCTCACAGCATGGCTGGACTCCACTGATGACAGCATCATTTGGTGGACATGTTGAAATTGTGAGACTACTGGTTGAGGCTAAGGCTCAGCTCAACATACAGGGAAAGGAGGTATAGGTACTTATGACTATCACCAATTTGGTGTTGAATTTATTTGAGTACGGAAACACACAACGATGTAGCTCACTCACTGAGACAAGGGCACATCAAATGTAGCTAAATACCTGTCAGCATTTTTGCACTTTGTGCAAGTATGTTGTGATGATTATAGCAATCACACAGAATGTTTTTTCCGTTTGAAACTCCTATACATTGGGCCTGTGTATAGCAACACCTGGTTGATGTCATTAACTTTGAAGCAAAAATCTCTCCTCTGTCATATCTACAGGATGGTGTCACAGCTCTTCACCTGGCAGCCCAAGAAGGCAAAGCTGATGTAGTGAGACTACTGACTGAGGCTGGAGCACAGCTGGATATACAGAAAACAGTATGTGCCATTTTAGCCCTCAGTAATTCAGAGAGTATTGGTTTGCTAAGATGACTTGTAGCACGATGCATAAGCATACCAAAGGCACTGGCAATATCAAAATATATCTTAAAATATCTACTGCAATAAATACCGGCCACCTACTCTCTGCATCACTAAACCATTTGATTGTCCATATCACACACATCCATATCTGATCTTCCTCTTTGGTCTAGAATGACATTCTGTAAAGCTTTAAGACTAGTCAAAGAGAGAGTAATACACTCTGTTTACCTGAGAATGTGCCTGCCTTTTGGTTAATTTTTTCTGTCTAATGAGTTGATGAGACTTGTAGCTAACTGAATTACTATTCCTCCTCTGCCACAGGATGGGGCAACTCCTCTCTACATGGCCTGTCAGAAGGGACACAGTGATGTAGTGGAGATCCTGATAAGGAATGGAGCTAATATCAACCTGCCCCGTCATGTATGTATGGGTCTACTTTACATCACCCTTCTAATAAAATACGACTGTTGCCCTATACTCCTTTAATATTAATCTGATGCCAACCAGTGGCCCTGGGTACCCTGAGTTTCATGTCTGAAAACATGATCAAACATGCTTCTTCATCATGAAACTTGTATAGTTTATGTTTTACCTTGGCATCTTTTCACTGCCAGTGGTCAAAGGTAACATGCATGCATTGAACGAGTATTATTATGTGAAGGGAGATCCTGGAGACAAGGTTTATTTCCTGAAACACATAATTAAAACCAGCCATGGACATAAATGTGTTCATAAAAATTTATATGTGGGGGTTATAGTACTAGGTGCTATAATTATACTTTATACGTAAAATTTTGCTTATTAAGAAGATGGCCATAGTGTCCAAAAGTTAATTTTCCGGTAGCGAACCTTCTTTGAGTTGCATGGTGTGGTTTGATCTAGCTACACTATTCAGTTTACTATTCTTCCCCATAGGAGGGGGCGACTCCTGTCTTCATTGCCAGTCAGGAGGGACAAAGTGAAGTAGTGAATATCCTACTGAGGAATGGAGCTGGTGTGGATAGAGCTAGTAACGTAAGTCAATCATCAGTCACTGCATGACAATCTTCAGTCGTTTACTGTGCCAGTCACTTTACGGTTAGTTGTCATACCATCCTATCTCATTTTGATTTTTATGGGACATATTCTACCACCCTTCTTCAGTCCCAAACACAGACAGATCCTGGAGACAAGGTTTATTTCCCGAAACACATTAATTAAAAAATAAATGTGTCCAGAGCCTCCATAAAATAAAATATACGGGGGTTATAGTACATAAAATTGTCTTATTTAAGAAGATACCCATAGTGTCCACATGGCTGTGTTTTAAACTCCAAATTTGAGCATGCTACCTCATCTTCTGCCCCCCTTCCTTCAAGTCAGCCTGGTAGCCATAGCAAAAGTGGTTACAGTTCAGGATGACAACCAGTCTGATATTCCTGTTCAAAACACCTCACTGTCTGACAAGCTTACAACACGACCTGTGAATAACACATGTCTTAAAGTTACATCTTCTGGTAGCGTTGACACCTGTGCTACTGTAGCTATACTACCTACCCATGCTGCATCTTCTAACACTAATCCCCCTCAATCCTGACCACCTACTCACTGTCTCTGTGTCTGTTTACTGAATGTGCATAGTATTGTAAATAAGCTGTCTAAGTTTCAATCCTTTGTGTATGCTTCTAATTTTTGTATCATTTGCGAAACCGAAACCTGGCGCTCTGATTTCATTTCTAATGGGGTAATTGGTTACGTTATTAACCCTCGGCGGTACGCATGCGCAGCGGGGGTTACGGTAGTCGTTGTGTGTGTCTGTCTGTTACCATGTTTTCTGCCACCACGCGCAACAAACAGGCCAAAAAGCGACACCAACGGGTTCAGCGCTACACTGGCTTCATTTAAAACTGGCGATTTTTGTAAAAGTACCGCATTCAAAAGTTATGACGTGAAAACCAAGTGAACAAGCCAATATGCGAATTAGCACGGGCTTACCTCGACAAGATGTGCTTGCTCTGCGTACCTTGGAGGCACAAGACGTCACAACGAAGGGTGGTATCGACTCCCGCATGGTATCTACTACTATAGCTAGCCCGTGTCAGACTCTCTGTGTGCTACTAGCGGGAGACCGCGATACTACGGCCCAGCCCATCAATTAGCGGTATCGCGCAAGCGCAGTTCGCCGAAGGTTTGCACTTTAGTGCTTTTCATACTTATTATATCGTAAGGATAAGCCTTCACATGGTGGAGGTGTGTTAGTAGTTGTTAAAAAATCGTCCTCATTTTGCTCCCCGTCTGATCTTGAAATTGTATCTGTCAAAGCAGCGGTCATGTTATTTGCTGTATTTATGTACCTCCTGACTCTCCTCTTTCTCATGTGTCTCATCACGTTCTTTTTCTTTCAGATCTTGTCTCATCCTTCAGTAAGTGTACTTTTGTAGGTGACTTTAATTTCCCTGACATAGATTGGTTTGCACTTATGGGCACCTCTAATTCATCTACTTGTTTATGTGATTATATTTTTGACTAATATTTGAACCTACTCATGAAAAGGGCAATGTACTATATCTTGTTCTAACATCTCCATGTGTTTCTGTCACAAATTTAACTATTCATCCCCTATCTTCACTCAGTTCTTCAGATCACTTCACCATTACTTTTGACCTGTTTTGTAATGCAAAGTTCTGCATGGCATACTTATCAGAGAGTACCCCTTGTTTCTTCCTTTTTGGTGCTTCAAGCCATCCCTATATCCTCCTTTCATTTTGAAGAAATGATTTTTCCACTTGTCTAATACACTGGTCAACTCTTAGATCACTCGATCCATCCAAAGCAATGGGATGTGATAAGATCAGCCCAAAGCTACTGAAAAACTGTGCTTTAGCTCTTAATCAACCACTGCACCATCTATTTTCGTTGAGTCTATCGCAAAGTTATCTCCCTTCTGAATGGCGTACTCATCTAATAAAAACCGGTATTCAAATATGGAAATCGGAATTCTGTGAGAAATTACCGGCCAATTTCGTTGCTATGTATTGTCTCCAAGGTCCTGGAGAAACTTGTTTACAACTGTATCGTTGACTTACATAGCTCCATCTCAGTTCATCAGTTTGGTCTTCTTCGTGGCCGTTCCACTCTACAGCAACTGCTCTTATTCTTCAATATGCTAGCTAACTGGCTCTAGTTTCCAAACAGACGTTCTACACTTGGACTTTAGAAAGGCCTTTGATTCAGTGGTGCACAATAACCTCCTCTACAAACTATTGTTATCTCTGGCATTCCGCAAGCTAGTATACTTGGTCCTCTACTCTTTCTCATCTTTTGATCTGCCGGATGTTCTCGAAAAATCTATGATGTTAGCTACTCTTCGTGGATGATGCAAAGTGTGTGATGCCTATTTCTTCCTGACATGATTGCACACTACTCCAGAATGATCTTACAATGCTGTCTGAGTGATGTACCACCTGGAGCATGTCACTGAATGAGGAAAAGTGTTCTGCTGTCCATTTTACTAGCTCTACTAGACGCCTTCTCTAATATTTAATTATGAATGGAAAATCCATTTTTTTCCAAACCTCAACGGAAAGATCTTGGTCTACTTGTATCAGCTGATTTGAACTGGCCCCGCCCCCACTACCAGTTAATAACATCTAGGGCTTATAAAATGCTTGGTCTCTTGCACAGTCTTCTCTAGTTCTGGCGGAATCTGCCAAACATTCCTTGTACATTTCACTTGTAAGGTCTCAGCTGCTCTATTGTTGTGGCAACCTTACTTATTGGCTGATGTTAAAATGCCTTGAGCTACTTCAGAGGAGGGCAACTAAGTTCATAGTGAATAATACTTCTATGGACTATCGAAAGTGTTTCAACTTTTACCTCTGATGATGGAACTAGAAATTGCTGAAAAATCAAGTCCGTAAGGTCATCAG